GGGACTACCTTGGTCCCAGAAGCCACCACCTCCCAATGGCCAGGACCCCCCTGACTGCCCCCATCTTTCCACAGGGATGTTTCATTTTCTCTCTCGTCAAGTACATACCCCTGACCTACAACAAAGTGTACGTGTACCCCACCTGGGCCATCGGGCTGGGCTGGTGTCTGGCCCTGTCCTCCATGGTGTGTGTCCCGTTGGTCATGGTCATCCGCCTCTGCCAGACGGAAGGGCCGTTCCTCGTGGTGAGCACTCGGGGCCCAGCTGAGGGGGGGCGGGGCGGGGGGGAGCCAGCCTGCTGGTAATCTGCTGTGTAACCTTGGACACGCCATTTCCCCTGAGTCCTGCACCCCTACCTGCCCTATGGAGGGGTGGGGATTGTGGGCAGAGGGTGCATGGGGGTGGGGGGGTGGGGGGACTGGAACAAAGTACAGTTCACATGGGAGGAGCTCTGTGGGGACATTCAGAGCAGGGCTGGAGCAGGAGGAGGAATTTGCCACGCAGAGAATTCGAGAAGGGAGGGTATGGGACACGGTGCAAGGAGGCGACAGTCCTTGGGCCGCAGTGGCACTCTCTGGGGGGCTGGTGATGAGGCTGGAGAGGTGGCAGCCGCTTTGGATGCCAAGCTCAGAGCTTTGGCTTTATCTTGGGAGCAGTGGGGGCTGCATTTCTGAAGCCCTGAGATAGGAGCCAGGAGCCAGGGAGGGAGCCCAGCCCACCCTGATCCAAGAAGCCACCCACCTGTCTGCTGCCGACCTCAGAGGCCACCTCTGTCCCAGTGGAACCTGCAGCTCTCAGGCCTCCGTGCCTGCCAGTCTCCTCACCCCCCACCTCCCCCCTCCACCCCCCGCCCGGCCTCCCACCTCCTCCCAGAAATTCCTCAGACAATACTGTAGATTCCAGGGCACTTTCCAAGAAATCCTTTTCTTAGAATCTCCCTTAACCTTTGGGCTTGGGTGGGCTCCAAGATTGCACTGTTTTGTTCTGGGCTGTTTTTATTGTTATTCTCTTAAAAATCTGGAGCCAGGATGTCCTGGGGCCCTGGCTCCCCTTGGACTGGGTGGGTTTCCTTATGGGCAGGCGAATGGCCTGGAGGTGTTGGGGGGAGAGAGGCCTGGCAGAAAGCGACCAGCCTTCCCCAGGCAGAGGAAGTAAGCAGGGCCGTGCCAGGGAGGAAAGCATGGCGCTCGGCCTGGGGTGTTCCTGCAGCTTCGGCTCCTTGTATTTCCTCAGAGGACACAGGGGAAGACCCCAGTATTCAGCCAGACTGGCCCTTTTATTCGTTAAAGTATTGAAATACTGAGCCCGGGGACATACAGGCAATAGCTACTGCCCCAGCCCTCCGGGTATATACACATACACGACATCAACCCCGCCCCTCCCCGGGAATTCCCAGAATGGCCCTACCATCCTGAAACTGAAGGGTTACTTGGAAGCATAGCAGAGGGGCTTGGATGTCTGTTCTGATTGGTCAGTGCCCAGAGTAATTACATAGTTCAACCATGGGGGGTGGGACACAAGGACACCCAACAGGTCACTAATTTGTGTCCCTTCAAAGTCTAATTTTATTTATTTTTTATTAATTTTTTTTTTAGAGAGAGAAAGAAACATTGATTGGTTGCCTCCTGCACACACCCCAAGCGGGGATCGAACCCACCACCTGGGTATGTGCCCTGACTGGGCATGGAACCCCCCACCTTGTGGGGTACAGAGGACATTCCAATCAACTGAGCCTCACCAGGCAGGGCTTCAGAGTCTAATTTTAAAACATCGTTCCAGCCCCAGTGTAATGGTTTGGTCAGAGTGGGGCTGGTGTGAAGGAGGAGGAAGGGGTGGGTGAGGAATCCACTCCACCCCACACTTGCACCCCTTCCTTCCCTACACACCTAACCCCCTCCTCTGAAGGCAGTTGAACCACCAGCCATCTGCCTTGGCTATGTGTCCCTGGGGCTCCCACGGGCACCGGTTGCCCAGGTATCTGCCCGCCATGACTGTCTCCCGGAGCCAGGTTCTACAGACCCAGCTCTGTCCTGGGAGGAGTCCATTGGCATCTCAGCCCCCATGTAAACAGCTCGAGTGGCTGTCTGGGGCCTTTGTCTCCTGTCCCTCCTGCCGCGTGCAGAGAAGGGAGCGATGGAAGGGGAGCAGGATGCCCTTCCTGCTGGCATCCCCCCCTCGCCCTTTACCTGTGGCCTCCAGCCGGTCCTTCAGGGACCAGGCAGGCAACCCAGGTGCGGGAAGCCACTGGGGCGGGCCCAGGAGTGACCTGGAGAAGGTGATGGAAAGCTACAGCCGGCAGCAGTGCGCTCAGCTCGGCCTGAGAGGGCACCTGGGGCCTGCAGTTGCCAGATCTTGCCATTTTTAAAAGAGAAGGTGGAAATCTGGGTTTTCAAATGAAATACCGTAGCTTTTAGTAAGCAGCTCTGGAACATCATAAACTGAATGCCTATATAGACAACTTCTTGTTCACAACTGCTCTCTACTTACGTTTCTGAGTGGACACTTGACGGAGGGGGGAGGGCGGCTGGGAGGCAGGAGCCCTGAGTCCGGGTCCCAGTTCTGCCATTGGGTCTCTCGGGGTCCTTGGGGGAGGGCTCTTTGCCTCACAGATTCCATGAGTGGGCAGCCAGCTGGGAGGATGAAGGGACCTCCAAGAACCTTAGTTCCCGTCTTTGTTTGCCGGTGGATGAAACAGGAGGTGCAGAGAGGAGAGCAGTTAGCGAAAGGCCAAACGGCACGCTGGCGGGACCCAGATGGGGTAGAGGGCCGTGGGACAGGGAACCAGACGCCTGACTTCCTGCCCATGCCTGTCCCCTTCCTTCTCCAGAGACTCAAGTACCTGCTGACCCCGAGGGAGCCCAACCGCTGGGCTGTGGATCGAGACGGGGCCGCCCTCTACAGCTCCCACTCGGCCATGAACGGCACCCTCATGAAGCCCACCCACATCATCGTGGAGACCATGATGTGAGCTCTCTCGGGCCGACGGCTGCTTTCCTGCTGTTTACTAACATTAGATTCTCATAGGACCAGGTTTACAGAGCTTTATATTTGCACTAGGATTTTTTTTTAATTGTCACAGAAAATATTACTGTGTATGTGTGTGTGTGTGTGTGTGTGTGTGTGTGTGGTGTCGTGTGTGTGTGTGTGTATGTGTGTGTGTATTTTGTGTTGATTTGGGGATATTTTGTACAAAAAAACAAAAACAAAAACAAAAAAAAATACAACAACCCATGGGCAGAAGTCCGGGGCAAGGCAGAGCTTTCATACTGAATTAGATGTATTTTATGGGAACTGGTAAATTTTTCTTTGTATTTTTTTTTTTTACATATAATTATATGTACACTTAGAGATTGTCATACACTTTTACCACTTGAATTGATCTTGCCAGCAATAGATCTCGTTTTCAAAAGCAATTCTTTGGTGCTTGTGTAGCTGGCAGAAAGTTCTGCCCCCTCCCTGCCCCCCAGCCCCCCCCAAATAAAACAACGCAGGGTGGAATTTTCCTGGGACAGCCAACCCATTTTAAAGGTGTAGTACCTCCCAGACCTGGTTCAAGTCGAAGCAGGGAAAGGGCCCCACCCGCTGGCCAGGCCCAAGGGGCCTGAGAAAGGAGGGCGGTGAGGAGTCGGCTCAGGACACTTGTAACCAGGAAGAGAGATGCCAAAATGCTGAACCAGCCCCACAAATAAAGGCGCTGACTGAAAGCTGACAGGTGAGGCCTGATAACAAAAAACAGAACCCCACCTTTTATTTTGAGGTCAGTGTATTTGCTGAGGGACGAGGGGTGAGGGAGTGGACCAAAGGATGTGGCCCAGGGTTCGGGTGGCCCGGTGTTGGGGAGGGGTGCTTTCCCCTCATCTCTCCACCCTCATCTCCCAGAGGCCGGGAGAAATTCCTGGCACCGCTTGTTAAGACCCCAGCCCAGGCCCACGCGGGCTCTTCGCAGGGAGTACCAGGAGCGTCCTGGGGCCTTTAGCGAATGCTTGAATCCAGTAAAGTGCTCTCAGCACTCTTCCTCCCAGTTTAGTCACAAGTGCGACGCTGGGTAGACCCCGGGCGGCGTAAAACTCTTCACTCCACCCCCTCACCCCCCGCCGCACTTCCTGGTGTCAGATATGCGCTACATGGGACCGAGAGGGGGCCGTGGGGGGGGGCGTTTTCTAGGAAGTGGGGTTGTTTGGGGGGCTGGCACCCCAGAACTGGCTCAACCAAGAATGGCGTCCTCTCTGAACCAGCAGGGAAGGTACTCACCTTTAACATCCCGGGTGTGGACACACCTCCACCCTAGCCCCCATTTGGACCTAAACTGTGCCATTTTAAAGTCACTTCCAAGTTCAGTCTAAACTAAACCGAAGCGTCACAAACAGCAGTGACTGCCTAGCAGGGGGGTGGAGGGTGGAGATTCAGAGCAGGGCCTCTCTGAATCCTGGAACCCCGCTCCCCCAATCCGAGAGAGCAAGGAGGCTTAGCTGTCCCCCTCCCCAGGGGCAGAGGCCACTCTGAACCTCTTGTCTTGGTAAACTTTCACATTTCGCTGTTTCCAAAGCACCTGCTCTGCCAAACAACACCTATTCCAGGCCGTTCCGTTCCGACGTGTTCCTGTTTTCCTATGTGTCGATGGTTGCTGCTGTGTCTGATTGGACTTTGTTGGTTTTTCCCCCCCTAATTTTACCGAGTAGCAATGTGACCTGTTTTCCTGTCTTATGGAACTTTAGTAAACTAACCACTGTCAGCGATTGGGGACAGGTGATCATGGAGCAAGGGGGGCTTGGCACGCTGTGGCTACCTGGGCACCTGTGGTCATTTCAGGCTACACACATCTCCCCTCCGGGGCTCAGGTCCCCAGGGAAAGGCCACAGGGTGGCAGGCAAATTGCAACATCCTGGAAAGGGCCCGAGGAAGGCCTCTCCTTGTCAGATTCCCAGACCAAATTCCAGACCAAAGACACATGCAGACCAAGTCCCCAGGTGCCAGCTGGGTGGAAGGTCAGCCACGTTCCCCAAGCCCACCCCTCACACCTCCCTGGGCACCCGTCTCCAATCGCCACCCTCGTGTCTGCCCCCCTAGCTCTGGTGTATCCGCAGACCTTGGCTCTATGAGTACAATGTGGAACAACGCGCGGCTTCTCTGTGTCTCCACATAAAGGAAACTCCTTGGCACTCAGACTCTGTCCGCCTGTCTCTGGAGAAGGGGCGGTGCTGCGCCCACTCTCGGCCCGGGTGGGTCAGACGTTCTGCTGCCCGCAGAACCTGGAAGGGGCGCGAGGGAGGTGTTTGAAGAGCGTTGAGGATGCAGAAATGGGTGAGGGCCCAGGATAAACTCACCAGGGAGAGGCCTCATCACACTGGGCCTGGGCCATGTTAGCCCCGCAGGGGGCCGCACAGTCAGTGATGGAGAGGCTGGGGGTGGGGGTGGGGGGAGCAGTGAACGCTCTCATAAAACGGAGAAATGGAGGCCTGGAGGGGGGAGGGACTTTGGCCCAGCAAGTGGGGATGAACCAGACCGTGCGCAGTCAGTTCCGGCTGCAGGTCCTCTGGGGTGCGCGTGGCGAGTGCAGCTCCTCGGTGTTCTCCCTGAAGACCAAGGACGAACGAGCCTTTAGGAAAAAGGAAACGCTCCATCCAGTGTTGGGAGATGAGGTGAGCAGCACCTCTACCCGCTGACCATCCTCGGGCCAACCGGCCCCCACGCTGTGACTCAGGCCTGTGCACCCGGTCGCCCTGGCCCTGCACCCGGGGGCCCTCTGTGAGCGAGGCGTCCAGATCCCTGTTGCACATGAGGAGACGGAGGCCCACAGCAGCCAGTCGCTGCGCAGAGGCAGGACCCCAGGCAGGACTCAGAGGAGGCCACTCCCAGGCAGCAGGACGTGGCCTTGGATTCTGACTTCCGGGCGGAACGTACTTCCCTCTCGGTCCCTCCGGTCCCAGCACAGCCCCGGAGACAGTGGTGAAGCATCAGGGGAAAGGCAGCCCCCCTGGGCCTCGCACAGGGCATTCTGTCACCAGGTCCCACCTCACCGTGGCCAGTGGCCCAGCCAGCATCTCACACTGCCCCCTGGATGGGGAAGTGCTCTGTGCAGCCAGTGCTGGAGGCAGAGGTGCCTCCCGTCCCCGACACCGTGGACAGGCCAGGGGAGGACCGAGAGAAAGTCCCTCTGGGCAGCTAGAGGGCCCAGCCAGACCTCAGACCCACCGCCGGGCGCCTCCAAGCTGGGCCTTCCACATGGATGCTATACATACCACTGTGCAAAAATGCAACAAGCACAAAGCCACAAAACAAACCCCCGATCTCAAAACTGGAGAGGAATGCGGGCCCTCCCTCTCGGTCGGAATGCATCCTGCTGGAATGGGAGCCGCTTCATTGTTCTCGTGGGTGTCACGCAGACGTGTTCTGACAAGGTCCCGAAGGATGTAGCGTCTTGTGATACATGTGGCTTCAAACTGAGGCGTTAGCTCCATTCCCCGCCCCCCCCCCCCATTAATTTTCAAATCCTCACCAACTGTGACTCTGTATTTAGCACAAGAAAAGGCTGGGGACGCGGTTTTGCCTCCTTCCAGAAATATGTCTGGCTCATCAGAACTTTTTTTTTTAACATCAAAATATTTTAAAGATATTTTAAACTTTTGTAAAGAAAAAAATCCACCAACAAGAGACTCTTCTGAGGAGGAACATTTGTATTTGAATAAGACCCTTGGTGTGTAATTCAGTCTTGCGATATACAAGCTTTTGTGTATAAATGTTTTATGATCTGAATCCCTGTATTTTGCAGGGGGTTTCCTCTTTTGCTTTCTAGAAACATAAGTATATCGATATTTTAAATCCATCTTTGCTTTTTTTTTTTTTTAAAAGAGTTTGGAATCACCTTATAACATGAAAAAAAACATTTCCTTTTTAAATCCACCATGGGGGGGTCTGTTTTGAAGAGGGTGTTCTTTCCTCCATTTGGCAAGGGCCCCACAGTCCCGAGGGGCTTGCAGGGCCGCCCGGGGTGCTCCTCACAGGTGTTTAAAGGTGGGGGGCCAAAGTTGAGGTTCCAGAGGGGGAAGTGGTTTGCCAAAGGACCCGGCCTGGGTTTGCAAAATTTTCTAACCCAGCCCCCTGACCCCCGGGCGGGGTTGCCGGGCCCTTCTAGATAAAAGTACTCGGTAACATAATAAGCCCCCGTCGG